TTATTTAATAATATATAAAAATTATATAAAAATATTTTATAAAAAAATTATACAAAAATACTATTTTCATATTCTTACCTTGACCTTCCTAAAAATTGCATAATTGTATGTACCACTGTCTGCCTTGCCGCTGAAGCAGACGTTGGTTTGGTTTTGACTAAGATTTTTGATTAGTTAAGAGGTAAGGCTGATATAAATACTGTATATAATGCATTCGCGTGAGCAGTCAATCAAAAGATGTTTAATTTGTATGTAAGAATAAAGTTGAAATATGTAATAAATATATTTAAAAGAAATATAAAACAAATGACAATCCTTTTTAGGGGAGCGATCATGACAACTAATAAAAATGTATTAATATTAAAATTATAAAATATTATTTTTAAAAATTATTAATTATTTAATTTAATTAATAAAAATAATTTTTAATTTTTAATTAATAACAATTTAATATTTATTAATTTATAAATTAAATTTATTTATTTATTTATTTATTTGATGGTGCCTATAACCAATTCCATTAATGTGAATTTACTTTCTCACCAGCCAAGTTTCCAAAGCATAATTGTATGTGGGACCGTGAAGAAAGCTTGCCGGCTTAATTATTCAACAGTTTAATGTACGCCTTCTTCACCAAGACAAGGGTTCCATCTCCTCTCCGCCCCTCTTCCCCTGGAATCACTCGCCCTATAAAAAAAAAAATTGTATGTGGGACGGTTACCTTAATTTATTTTTAAACAGATTACAACTTTAGAAGTGGGAAAATTCAAAACACAGCCTTTGAATGGGGGAATACACCAACAACATTGGTATAGTCATTGATATAAGAAGGGCAGCTGTGACCGCTCTACCTAGGGGTGTTCGCGGGGTGGTTTGGTTCGGATTTTAACATTTTTTAATCCAATCCAATTTAATCGGTTAGTAAAATTTTTAAACCAATCCAATCCACTATTATATGATAACCAAACCAATTCAATTTAAATCGGATCAGTGTGATTCAGTCGGATTGATCGGTTTTTAACACTATTAAATATATATGTAAATAAATTTAACATTAAGTAAAAAACATAAATATAAAATGCGTTAATATTCAAATAAATAGAAACATAATTAAAAAAAAGTACAAATTATAAACAAATTCTTATACTCTTTTACAATTGTAAACATTAAAAAGATTTAGAAATTATAAACAAATTCTTAAATCTTTATCTTGATCTCCAAGAATACCCAAAAGAGGGCTACCACCAGCCTCCCAAGCTCTTTTAATTCTGAATTTGGATGAGTATTTATAAGGTTTTAGAAACCCTAATTGAAATAGAAGTAGGATTTGAAACAG